ATCTTGGAGACACGGCTTCACTCCAACTAAGCCAGGGCCGCCAAGCTAACCTGCTTGTGACTCTTATCTACAGAGCCCAAGAGCAGGTAAATGTTCATGGTTTTAAGCCACTTCATTTTGGAGATGCTTGCTATGCAGCAACAGGAAACTAAAACCCTAACAGTATCATTGGCCCCACTTTACACATAGACAGATGCAGTCAGGAAGAAGTAAGAAGCTCGCTAGGGCTGTGCTGAGATTTGAAGCAGGGCAGTCTGACTTCAGGGTCTAGTTCTGCTTTTTCCTCTTGAGACAAGGTCTCAACCTGTAGCCCAGGCTGACCTTGCTTTACAGGATGTTAGCATTTGAGCAAGCATGCCATTTCATTCACATAAATAATAGCCTTTTTTTTTTTTTTTTTTTTTTGAGAAAAGATTTCACTCTGTAGTTCTGGAGTTTTTTTTTTTTTTTTTTTCACCAGGGATCGAACTCGGGACTTTGTGCTTGCCAGGCAGGCGCTTATGCTGCTGAGCTATCTCCCCAGCCCTTTATTCACATACTTACGTCAGGCTGAAATCCCCAGTTTCTCTTTATCCAAACAACAGTTAAATTAGCTCTCTTTTTCACACATTAGTGTTTCAAACCTAACATTAGGTTGTACATTTTTATATCTTCTGTCATTGTAGACACTTCAGAAGGATTTTTTTTTGGGGGGGGGTGGCTGGCTCAGGCTGCCTTAAGTGTGGGTTTGGTGTGGCATGTGGAGCTGGGGATCAAACTGTGGTCCTGCAAGATGACTAGGTTTGCCCAGGCAGGCACTTAAACAACTGAGCTAACTGGCAAGCCCCGTCATTGTAGATACTTCAGATCCATCATTTTAAGTCAAAATCTTTAGACTCCTCATTTTGTCTTTTTTCTTTCAATTCTAATTCACATCATCTTAAAATCTGATTAGCTTTATTTTATTTATTTACTTTTTGAGACAGTCCCTGTAGTTCAGGCTGACCTTGAACTCTCTTTGTAGTGCAGGCTGGCCTTGAACTCCCAACAATCCTCCTGCCTTAGCCTCCAGAGTACTGGGATTACAGGCTGTGACAGCATGCATCAGCATGATTAGCTCCCCTTGTACAGCTTCCTTCAGATAACTGCTCACTGGGGCTGGGGATATAGCTCAGTGAGTGGCACAAGTGCCTGCCTGGCAAGGGTGAGGCCATGGGTTCCTGGTACCACAGGGGAAAAAAAAAAGATAACTGCTTGTATGCTGACTGGGCCCCTCCAGATGAATAGCAGGGTATTTTTTAAAAATTTTAAAAATTTATTTATTTTGTACAGGGTCTTGCTACACAGCTTGGACTTGTAGTGATCCTCCTGTCTCAGCCTCCCCAGTGCAGGGATTACAGGTGTGTGCCACCATGCCCAGTTTTCTTGGCCAGCACAGCATGCCTGGGGTTCTGAGGTGGCACCAGGGATCAAACCCAGATCCTTGTGCTTGCCAGGCAGGTGCCTAGACCGCTAAGCTATCTCCTCAGCCTACTAGCAGTTGTGAGGTGTTTATGATAAATACATACTTCTTCAGCCTGAGTTGTTGTATCATTCAGCCCATATTCCCTATTGGCTTGAGTCTAGATGGTCTAAGTTTATGATACTGCCTATGTAATATCCCAAAAAAAGAATGCTTTTAGAATAATGTGTCTATTTCTTAAACTATTGCAGGTACTGGTCATGACTACCTCAATGTGTCAGGATCTAGTGAGAAAAAAAAGCTCATTCTAGATAGTTCAAAAAAGAAACTGTCCAGGGGCCAGGGAGATGGCTCAGTAGAATAAGTGCTTCCCTGTCAAGCACAAGGGCCTGAGTTCAATCCCTGGTTCCACCAAAAAAGAAAAAAGAAAAAGAAACTGTCCAGATGTGGTGGCACATCTGTGTAATCCCAGCTCTGTGGCGGCTGAGACAGGAGGATCACTGGGAGTATCAACGAGAAATGCGCAGTGACCCGATCTCAAAAATAGTCAGGCGCTTATGCCACTGAGCTGTCCCCCGCCCTGGTCTCAAACAAAAGAAGACTTAACAGAGAAATAGTCACAAATATGATGAAATTGCTTAAAAAGTAAAAAAAGAAGATACTGAGGTATCCCACAGTAACAGTGGACTCCCAAGAGTGCTTCCTGATAGCTGAACAGTGACTAGATCATGGCAAGGGAGTCTGGGAAATGGAGTTCGCAGGAAGAGGTTGAAGAATCTGAAAGTAAGTGAATGACCCAGGCCCTGTCTTTCTCCACTGTGCGTGTTCCTAAGCCACCAGTTTGACAGTCTGTTCTAGGAGCTAGCTAGGTGCCAGAGACTACTGGATCTGACAGCAAGGACTCTGAGCCACACACAGTGTGACTCAAGTCTTGGCACCTGTACACGCTAGTAGCTTGACCATGAGCAAGTCATCCAGCTCGTCTGTGATTCAGTTTCCTCAATTATAAAATGAGGACAAAAATAACAGCTACATCCCAGAGGTGTGGTAAGCACATCTTATAATGTAAAGCATTTTGCGTAGTATATGGTGAATAGTCTATAAATGCACCACAAAAAAAAGTTGTTAGATTAGTTGAAAATGAAATATCTGTTTAGTTATCCATTATTCCATTGTCCATTATTTCCACTGTTTTTCACAATTCCTTAAAATTTCCAAGGACATTTCCATAGGCCCATTCCTAAAGGTACCGATGTCTAAGACCTCTGCACTCAACCTCACTGAGGTAATTCAACTGAAACTTTCAGTTGAAAAACACCTAATTTCTCTAATTTCATTATTTTATGTGTTTATATTTTTTTCTTTTTTTCTTTTGTATTTAGGACAGGGTCTACAGGGTCTCACTGTGTAGATCAGACTGGTAGTGATCCTCCTGTTTACAGCCGCCCAAGTGCTAGGATTGGGGTGGGGCCGGCACTGCCTCTTTTTTTTTTTTTTTCAAGTTTGTTTATTGACATGGAATGTATGCTATGTAGACCAGGCCGGCATGGCTGCCTTGGCATGCTGAATCAATTCAAAACTTTTATTTCAAAGTCACTTTGGTTTTTTTTGTTTTTGTTTTGCGGAACCAGGGATTGAACTCAAGCCCGTGCGCTTGCCAGGGAAGCGCTTATTCCACTGAGCCATCTCCCTGGCCCTCAAAGTCACTTTGACCTCAGGAAAGAGCCTTCAGAAGTACTACAGTGCCAGATCTAGTGGGTAAGGTGGAGGACTCGCTGCAATCTTTTATTTCAGTTTTTTTGAGATAAGGTCTTGCTCTACAATTCAGGCTGGCTTGAACACAGTGTGTATCCCAGGCTGGCCTGAAACTCAGCTGTCCTCCTGCCTCAACCTCCTGAGTGACTGGGATTATAATGTTTTTACAGTCTGCCTTTCTATTGAATGACACTAGGCAGCAGCGTCACCACATTTTTGACCACACCTCCCAAAGAACACTTGAAGCTGGTGACACCAGCTTGTTATCCCAGTTCTTGGGAGGTTGTGGCAGAAGTCTGCCATGAGTTGAAGGCCAGCCTGGGGTACACAGTGAGATGGTCTCAGAAAACAGCCAAAGGGGCTGGGGAGATGGCTCAGTAGGATAAGCGCTTGACTGGCAAATGCAAGGATCTGAGTTCAATCCCCGGTTCCACCAAAAACAAAAAAAAAAAAAAAAAAAAAAAAAAAAAAAACACCCAAAGAGCTGCTTCAGAAAGCAGTAAGGACAGTGAGACAAATGTGCTCCACAAGACAGGGACTATTTGGAGGTGGATTAATGGCAGTGTGTCTTTTGCTGTAGTATTTTAAAAGTTTAAACACTGTATTATTTGATCAGCCCCTTCTTATGCCCCAAAGGCAGAAGCTCAAAGTGTTTACAATCTAGTTCTTAGTATTTATTAACATTACCTGTTCTTGGGCTGGGGAGATAGCTCAGTAAAATAAGTACTTGCCTGGCAAGCGCAAGGGCCTGAGTTCAATCCCCTGTTCTGCCAAACAAACAAAAAACATTATCTGTTCTTGCCATAGGAAATCGGTAACCCCAAGTCCAGATATATTAGAAATATCCCGTGACTGAAAATAATAGTAGCTACTAGATATGGAGAACTTCCTATGCCTGGCAACGTAATTTTTTTTTTTTTTTTTTTTATTCTGGCAGCATGAGTAATGCCCAGTTTTTATTATCTCACACATGCTCACAACAACCTTAAGGGGGCGTGGAACCACGCTAAATTTTTATGACCAAGATTCAGGGACTTTAAGTGCTTTTTCAGGGTCCGGGGAGATGGCTCAGTAGGATAAGCGAGTTCAATCCCCAGTTCCGCAAAAAAAATAAAAAAATAAAAAATTTAAGTACTTTTTCAAGGTCACATAGGCGGTACTCATGTGGTACATTTACTCATGTGTTTACCATTTATTGAGCTCTGACTGCTCTCAGCAGAGCAGCTCTGCAGGTGCAAAGTAAACAGTTCACTGGGCGCGACGGCACACGCCAGTAATCCCGGCACTCAGGGGGCTGAGGCAGGAGGATGCATGCGAGTTCGAGTTCGAGGCTACAAAGCGAATTCAAGGCCAACCTGAACTGCATAGTGAAATCCTGTCTTCAAAAAAAAGAGAAAATTTAAAAGGTAAACAGTCCAGCCCGGCCGGAAGTTTCAGGTTGCACAGTAGGGGCGGAGGGGGTGGGGGCAGAAACTATGAATAAACAAATATTACAATCCCCAGTGGTAACTGCTATGATAAACGCTCATCGCCCAAAACACAGCCAGATCTCCGACACTGTGACAAGAAGTTCTGTGCACTTACGGGACCAAAGGAAAAACCCTACAGTTATGAACTAAGCTTATGTCCTTTGACAAACGCTTTAAAAACGTGCCAGTAACAAAAACCAGGTTACACCCGGACTACAACAACTTCGCTTAACGAGGAAGCCGGCGCGGCCGGTCGTGGCTAGTCGGCGGGCAGGGCGGGGCGGGGCCGGAAAGGGGTGCGCGACGGGTGGGCGGGGCCTGCGTTGATTGGCAGGGGTGGGGCCTCGCGCCCTGCCGCTCCAACTCGCCGGCAGGTTGGGGTGCATCCCGGCCGCGGGCCCGGGAACTGCGCCGCCCGCCTCTCCCCGGCCGCGTCCCGAGGGCTGGACGCGCTGGGCAAGCTGAGCGGCGCGCGGGCCAGCCTGGAGGCTGACGGTCGGCAAAGTTTGGCCTGAAGAGGAAGTGGCCACCAGCCCTGGCAGGTGGCAGCCGGGCCCGGGCGAGGCGCTCGCGGCCCCCGCCGGGCTGTAGACGAACGCGCGCCCCGACCCCGGCTCCGAGCTGAGTCCCGGGACCTCGGGAGCCCGCCCCGCGAGAGGAGCGCGGCGACCGCCGGGGGAAACAACTCGGAAGTTGGCGAGAGGCTCCGCCCCTCCGCCGCCTCCCCGCCCCCAGCCCTGGCAGCCGGAGCTCGGGTCAAGCCCTGGCTGTGAGCCCCCGCCGGGCAGTGGCACCGGGGAGCATGGACCCCCGGGCCGCCGCCTCTGCTTCCCCGCAGGGGAGGCGACCGAGGCTCCGGGACTCGCCCTGCGCCTCCGGACGCCTCGGGATGCTGGCTGCCCTCCTCCTGCTCCTTGGTAAGAACCGAGACGGGACGCCCCAGCCGGCGCCCAGCCCCAGAGCTGTCTCTGCGGCTGGCCGGTCCGTGGGTGCCCCGCTTTGCGACCCGTCGCCGACCCCCGCACAGCTCCTGCACTGTGCAGCTCCGCTCATTTCTGGGCCTCGCTCGGTGTCCCCAGATCACCCTAGCAACCTCTCGGGCGCTGCTGGCGGGCCTGAGTTGAGGTCTCACACCACAATCCCCAGCGTCTCTGCCCCGACCCTGGAGCTACCCGGAAGTCTCCTTCTGGAGTTCAGGTGAAGAAAACTTCTGACTTACTCTCCTGCCCTTTCTGGCTCTCCCTTTAGGAGGCGCTCTGGCCCATCCAGACCGGACTATTTTCTCAAATCCTGGTAAGTAGAGGGAGCCCCTGTGGCTCTACTTGGGGCTTAGGGATGAAGACTGACCTACTGTGGTTTTGGAGTGAAGACCATTTATCTTTGATGTTACAGACGGGGAAACTCAGGTGCGGTGTAGGCCCTCACCTGGCAGTATTTAGGTACCCTTTCATTCTTTTCCATGGAGCAGCCTTGCTCAGTCTCGCTAAAATATAATCTTCAGGAGAGTAGATAGCACTTCCTGCTCCCCCGGCCTGGGCACTGGCATGGAGCTGACCTGAGCATTGTTCGTGGTGCTGATAGTAAGGTAGAGCTATGAAGGGTTTTGAGAGGGAGAGGCCAGTGGGCTGGGGGATTTTGCTCCCTGTTGAACAGCATGGCCCATGGAGACCACAGGCCTGGGGAGGGGTGGGATGTTAAGGGCTCTCTACCAGCGTCCCTCCCTTCCTTCCTCCAGCCTGTGTGAGCCCCCCAGCACTGCTCCTGGAAGTGCAGGGAACCTTACAGAGGCCCCTGGGACGGGACAGCCGCAGCTTCCCCACCAACTGTACCTGGGTCATCCTGGGCAGCAAGGAGCAGACTGTGACAGTCAGGTGAGAAGAAGGCACAAGCCCTTTCCTCTCCCCTGTCCCTTTTCCATCCACTGTGGATGTCTGCAGAAGTCAGGTTCTCTCTAGCCTTTCCATCCTTGCCAACAGGAAAAGAGGAGAATTTTATTTGGCCTAGACGGCCTAAAAGCTGAACTTGTTCTGGGCCACATTTGGTAAATGGAAGTTGAACTGAGGTGGACTGTTTCGGGTTTTGTTCGTTCCCAATACTGGGGATTGAACTCATAAAACTGTTCTGAGGAGTTCTTCAGTCTGTTGTACACCTGTGCCTGAAATTCACAGCAGTCGTAATTATCTTAGAACCTTTCCCAATTTCAGGTTTTTTAGTTCATTTGGTTAGTTGGTGTGGTTCTTTTTTTCTGCAGTGCACACATGCTAGGCAAGTGCTCTGCCACAGAGCCATATCTCCAGCTACCCCCATACGCTGAACATTCCCAGGCTTCCCAGGCTCCTCTGACCATAGGTCGTGTTCCATGGTAAATACTTGGCTGGTAGCTTCACACAGTTCACTTGCTGTGAATTTATCCAGAAAGAGAGCAACCTGGAGAGAGGCTGTTGGGACAGAGGGCTCTGCACACTGGGAGGGTATCAGTCTTGCTCAGCTGAACTGGGGGCTAGTGAGTGAGTTCCAGTTAATTGAACTATCCTAGTAATTGTTGTATTCTGGGGCCATAGTTGGCTGACATTACTGCAACAACCAAAAAGCAATGAAACTTTTGTTGTTTTGATAAATGCACTTAAGCCTGGAATACAATTCAGTTATTCCAGTGGGTCCTAGTATATATCTCATGGTCCCATGATACCATAGGCCTCTGTTAGGACTGTTCCCATTGTTTACATTTGGTTTAGTTACCCCTGAGAGAGTACTGGGATTGAACCTAGGGCCTTCCTGCTGAGCTACATCCCCAGCCTTTTTAAATTATTTTATTTGGACATAGGGTCTTACTAATCTGTATTTGCCCAAGCTGGGCTCAAATGTGCAGTTGTCCTGCCTCAGCCTCCCAGAGTGCTGGAGTTACAGGCATGCATCTCCACAGGCTTGAATCTCCACATCCGGCGTCCACTCTTTTATTTGGCTCTTTTGAGTCGTGGATAAGCAGTTGTTTGTGCTTCTTGGGATAGAAGGGGTCTGGTGGCACTAGGTGGAAGCAGCAGGAAGCACTCTAGAGCATCTCATGTCCTGTTCTCCTTGGCCTCCGTAGGTTCCAGAAACTGCACCTGGCCTGTGGCTCAGAGCGTTTGCTCCTGCGCTCTCCTCTTCAGCCACTGATCTCCCTGTGTGAGGCGCCTGCCGGCCCTCTGCAGCTGCCAGGAGGCAATGTCACCATCACCTACAGCTATGTTGGGGCCAGAGCACCCATGGGCCAGGGCTTCCTGCTCTCCTATAGCCAAGGTAGGTTGTACAGGAATGTGAGAGGGGCCATTAGAATAGATACTGGAAGCCCCAGGGAGGAGGAAAAGACCCTGAGGGCGTGGTACCTCACAGCCTTCTCTGCTGCATCTGCAGATTGGCTGATGTGCCTGCGGGAAGAGTTCCAGTGCCTGAACCACCGCTGTATACCTGCCGCCCAGCGCTGTGATGGGTTCGATGCCTGTGGTGATGGCTCTGATGAAGTGGGTTGCAGCTCAGACCCATTCCCTAGCTTGAGCCCAGACCCTGACCCTACCCTCTCCTGTAATCTCACCCTGGAGGACTTCTATGGGGTCTTTTCCTCCCCTGGATTTTCACACTTCGCTTCAGTCTCCCATCCCCAGTCTTGCCTGTGGCTGCTGGACCCTCACGATGGCCGGCGGCTGGCAGTTCGCTTCACAACCCTGGACTTGGGCCCTGAGGATGCAGTGCATGTGTATGATGGCCCCGGGCCTCCCGAGACACCTCGGCTGCTACGTAGTCTAACCTGCTTCAGCAATGGCAAGGCTGTCACTGTGGAGACATTGTCTGGCCAGGCTGTCGTGACCTACTACACACCTGACAAGAGCAGCGGTCGGGGATTCAATGCTACCTACCATGTGCGGGGATACTGCTTGCCTTGGGACCGGCCCTGTGGCTTGCGCTCTGGCCTGGGGGCTGGCGAGAGCCTAGGGGAGCGCTGCTACAGTGACACACAGCGCTGCGATGGCTCATGGGACTGTGCTGACGGTACAGATGAGGCAGACTGCCCCAGCTGCCCACCCGGACACTTCCCCTGTGGGGCTGCCAGCACTCCTGGCACCACTGCCTGCTACTTACCTGCTGACCGCTGCAACTACCAAACATTCTGTGCCGACGGAGCAGATGAGAGACGCTGCCGGCACTGCCAGCCTGGCAACTTCCGATGCCAAGATGAGAAGTGTGTATACGAGACATGGGTGTGTGATGGGCAGCCGGACTGTGCAGACGGCAGCGATGAGTGGGAATGTTCCTATGCCCTGCCCCGCAAGGTCATCACAGCCGCAGTCATTGGCAGCCTGGTGTGTGGCCTGCTGCTGGTCATTGCCCTGGGCTGCACCTGCAAGCTCTATGCCATTCGCACCCAGGAGTACAGGTCAGTGAAGTAGGGCTGGCTGTGGAAACATGGGGAATGAGGGCAGCTAGTGCAACCACAGGAGAACTTGCAGGTACCCACCTTTTTTTTTTTTTTTTTTTTTTTTTCCGGAACCGGGGATTGAGCTTAGATCCTTGCGTTTGCCAGGGAAGTGCTTATTCTACTGAGCCATCTCCCTGGCCCCTGGGGTACCCACCTTGATCAGCTCTTGGAAAGACCAAGACTGAGCCCTGAAAGCAGTCCCAAGGAAGGAGGGTCATCGGATGACCTTTAGGAATTTCATTGCATAGTTTCAACTCTCCTGGGCTGCGTGTGGTGGGGAGAGGCCTAAGGGGTGGGGTAAGCCATCCTGACTGAGGGCTACCAGTGACTGAGCAGCGCCCATTCCTCCCAGCATCTTTGCGCCACTCTCCCGGATGGAGGCCGAGATTGTGCAACAGCAGGCACCCCCTTCCTATGGGCAGCTCATTGCTCAGGGTGCCATCCCGCCTGTGGAAGACTTTCCTACAGAGAACCCTAATGACGTAAGTCATTCCTTCCAGCCCTGGCTCCTCCGGTCCCAGCCCCACTATGGCCACACTGTACTTGTCTCACCCCCCTAACCCTCTGACTGACCTCTGCCTCTTCTCCATGCAGAACTCAGTGCTGGGCAACCTGCGTTCTCTGCTGCAGATCTTGCGCCAGGATATGACTCCAGGGGGTGCCTCAGGTGGCCGCCGCCGCCAGCGGGGCCGCTCAGTGCGTCGCCTGGTTCGCCGTCTCCGTCGCTGGGGCCTGCTTCCTCGAATCAACCCTCCAGCTCGCACCCCTGAGACCAGGCCCCAGGTCACACCTTCCTCTGCTGCTCTGGAGGGCCCAGATGGCAGCACAGGTTCAGCCTGTGAGGGTGGGGCAGTAGGTGGGCAGGATGGGGAGCAAGCCCCCCCTCTGCCCATCAAGTCTCCCCTCCCATCTGCCAGCACAACTCCAGCCCTCCCTACTGTCCCTGAGGCCCAGGGGCCACTGCCCTCAGTGCCTTTAGAACCATCACTGTTGTCTGGAGTGGTGCAGGCTCTTCGAGGCCGCCTTCTGCCAAGCTTGTGGCCCCCAGGACCAACCTGGACCCCGCCTGGACCCCACACAGCGGTCTTGACCCCAGAGGATGAGGATGATGTGCTGCTGATGCCACTGGCTGAGCCAGGAGTCTGGGTGGTTGAGGCAGAGGATGAACCACTGCTTTCCTGAGGTGACCTGGCTCCTCTGCGGGCTCCAGTCAACAGGGGCAGAGCTTTCTAGAGGGTGGTTCAACTTTCCCACTGACCTGTATAGCTGCTGGAAGTTGAATATCCCACAGGCAGGAAGAGGGCTCAATAAGACCCCTGCTGAATACAGCTGGAGACCACCATCTTCCACCACCTCTCTCCCTCCATCCTGTGGCTATCCAGAACATACAGTTCTTAAAGGATCATATGCCTGGACACTCCATCTTTGCCAAACCCTTACCTAAAAGTGGCCTTAGGCACCAGAATACCAATTGGTTGGAAACCTGCCTGTGTCCAAGAGGATTCAGGCCCAGCCAGAGGTTCTGCCAGCCTCCTTCCCTAGGGGGCCTGATTTACAAAAAGAATGCACCTAATACCTCTGTCCCATAGCCAGGCCACTGTCCAAGAAATCAAAGTAAACAATAAAGGAATCATAAGTTTTAACATCTTGCAAATTAGCTGAGCCCTGTCTTCCTACCATCTCCAACTGTGTTCATCTCATCTTGTTCCTGCTTTGTGCTTGTGCTGAGCCCACACCTGCTGCTCTCTTCCCGGTCATTTGCCAGCCACCCCACTCTTCAAAAGGTAAGAACAGTCAAGGAACCCAGAAGGACCAGCCCTTTCCAGGGGCCCAGGCAGAGCTAGGGCCCTGCCTTCAATAAGGGACACCAAGCACCAAGTCACTATTCAGAGCCAGGCCAGAAGTCAGGAGCCATCTGGGGCCTTGCAGCTGGGAAGGTTCCTATTCATGAAGGGCTCTCCACAGATCACAGGAGCAGGCTGTCCCTAGTGGAATGCAGGAGCTGTGACTGCCCTCCACCCCCACCAGTCATGTAACAGTCTGGCCTAGCTCCCCGAAGCAGGCAACCATTAGTTGAAGGCAGATCATATTCAAGGTGTGGAAGTGCTGGCATCACAACGAAATCCAAGGGGTCTTCCTGGAGGAGGGTTTAGTCTGAATTCTCAGCCAGGTGTGGTAGTGCACACTTTACGGGAGTGTTTGGGAGATGGAGTTGGGAGGATTGATGCAAGTTCAATTGTGAACTACATAGAGACACTGTTTCAAAATAAATAAAAGATGCTCTCAGCACTTAGTACAGAGGTGAGAATTGTAGACAGGACAAGCAAATTAAGACACTTAAGGGCTAGACCGTGGACCTGAGAAAAGGCAGCGGGGACATAAGTAGTGGCTAGCAGAAAAAAGCTGGGGAGGATGGGGAAAAAAATGGCCTGTGAGGAGTATTGGAACGTTGTCCCAGGAAAGCAAGGTACAGCAGCTGGAACAAAAGCTATGGAAGGGTTGGGGATAGGGGAAGGAAAGGAAGCTGAGGCATCCCTGACAAAACCAAGTCCTTGGTCACCCAGCCCCCTGCTGGAGGGGCCGTTGATTACAACCTGTCAGCATCTTCATTAGAGCAGTAATTACACAATTTCCTCTCCTGGTGAGCAAGAGCCTGAAGAAACAAAGGGGAAGTTCACCCATGTGTAGCCCTGGGATCTGGCATCTTGGCCCAGGGAAGACCTGCACTCCTTTCACTCCATGCCTGCTCCAGAGATTGAGGCAGGGCCTCCCAAGAACCCAGGTCCTGCTCACGATCCTCCCATCTTTTTTTTTTTTTTTTTTTTTTGCAGAACCGGGGATTGAACTCAGATCCTTGTGTTTGCCGGTCAAGCGCTTATCCTACTGAGCCATCTCCCCAGCTCCAATCCTCCCATCCTTTAGGGCCTCCGTCCCCATGCCAACGGCCCTTGCATCCTCTCAGTGCCAGTCCAGTGAAAACAAGCAGGAAAATGGTGCTCTCCCCATCCAGCACTGGCCTTTGCCCTCCTCTTTGCTGTTCTGTTCCTCCACAGCCATCTCAAAAATGTGTACCCTGACTTCATCGTTGACCTATTTCAGATCTTTTTTCTTTTAGAAGTATTGCCAACTTGAGTGGGCAAAGATTTAAGATAAATGTGCTGAAGGGTTGCTTCAGAATGATGGAAGGACGACTTTAGGGGAAAGTTTACTAAGGCCTGTGCTTATAGCTTAGTGGTCTGAAAGAATTTTCTCGGTGCTGAGTGTTTACATGATGTAAGTAGCAGTACTGCTTTGCCAGCCATGGTAAGGCCCAAGCCAGTGGAGAGGAAGAATTGGCCTCCCTGAATGGGCAGCATAGGGAAGCCCAAGACAGAGGGTCCTGCCCAAGCGAGGGCGGGTTGGGGGAACATTTGACTTTACTTTCTCTGAAACCTAGGTTTTTCTTTTTTTGGTACTGGGAGAAGATTTTCTTTTTTCTGGCTCAGGCTGCCTTAAGGGCGAGTCTGGTACTGGGAATCAAACTCAAGCTCATTCCTGCCAGGCAGGCCCTGGTGCACTACTATATTCCTGGCCCCTGAAACCCACGGAAAAGAAACAAGCAAACTTTATGTCACTATGTGGCATAGTGGAAATAAAACTGACTTAGATAATGAATTTCTTTTAGGTCAAGATTTTGGAGGCTTCAGGCTGCAGAGATAGCCCAGCGATCTAAGTGCCTGCCTAGGCAAGTGCAAGGACCCGGGTTCAATCCTCAGTACCACATGCTGGGCTGGCCCCACCCAGGGCTCTCGGAGCTGGCTGGCATGGTGGGTGGCACATGCCTGTAATCTCAGCGCTGGGGAGGCTAAAACAAGCAGAATCACTACAAGTCCAAGATGCCCCTGAGCTGTGTAGTAAGACCCCGTACCAAATACCTAAAATTAAAAATAAAAAGATTTTGGAAGTTTCAGTTTGTAATCGATAGGCCCTGCTGACCCGGGCTCTGATGGGCAGAGGGCAGCATATCACAGCAGGAGCTCAAGGCATGGCAGAGCCATTCATCTAATGCAGAATGAAGGAGAGAGACACTAGGGCCC